GAAGGAGAAGATGCCATGGGCACAACAGGTAAAGGGAACCCAGATGAGTACACGTTTACACGTGGGAATAGCAAACGCACCCATTTGGAGATGGAGATTGGCTCGTGGCTAGCACAGGCGTCTGACTCAGTGCCTGGGCTCATTGTGTTGATGGTGGCTCCTCTGCCAATCAGCATCACCAGCATGAGCACACCAAAGCTGGACCACGAAACGCACCCGAGAACAGAAAAGGAATAGGTACTCTCAAACTAGCGATTTGTGACCATGGTCACGAAAGTGCTTTGCATTGATGGTGGCTCTTCAGCCTGTGAGCTTTGCCCTCATGAGAATGGAAAAGGTGCACGACGAAACGTGATTGAGTATGAATGAAGAACGGGCTTTAGGAAGCAAGCGAACACGGCAGCACGGAAGAAAGACTGTAAGGGAGACAGACAGGAAGAAAGAAAGAAAAAGAAAGAAAAAAAAAAGAAAGAAAGAAAGAAAAAAAAAATGGATGATAAGAAGAAAGAGGTAAGCAAAGTAGCAAGGAAAAAGGGACGCAAGGCATTAACGAGGAATGGAAGTAAGGACCATCTCAAGCTTATGAGTTTTAAAACTATGGGAAAGAAGCATTGCCAAGGCTAACCTCACATTGGTAAGAGCAAATGCAAGTGAGCGCAGATGGCAATGGAAGAGAGGCGAAGTAGACGTTTTGGTGGATGTTGCAGCACGCACTAAGCCTCAACTCCTTGTATCTCATTTTTTTCATTCAACGTGCATTAAGCAAGTAAAGCCTGTGGTTTGAACCCCCTTTCCGTTTAATTAACTCTCGGACAAGTGTCATTCACTGTAGTTGGGCACCTAAAGGTGGTAGTGGCGTTGCATTCCCTAAACCACGAATTTAACTTGACTAAGAAACGGGACCCCAATATGCAGTGCACACACCTATAAACGTCAGCAGCGGTGGTGGCATTGTGCGTGAGGGAGTAAGCAGGGTCCACATAGCCCACCGTTCCCAGCACTCGCGTGAAGCCTGTTGTCGTGCCCTCCCCCACGTGCACAAGCCCAAAGTCTGCCACCTTCGCCTGGGGAAGGACAGGCAAGGCAGGCAAGACGAGAGGCAGAGGAGGATTGGGGGAAAATGGGTTCATCTGATTCACACAGGATGGGTTGATCTGGTTGAGCGGATGGGTTGATATGATTGAGACGATGAGTTGATTTGATTCACGATGGTTGTAGCGCCTTCTCACCATGTGGAGCAAGTGTCATGCCAACATGTAAGTACCCGACCGCATCACCTCATCAACACATGATCACGAACCTGCATATGAAGCAAGTTCCTTGCCAACACATGATCACGCACCTGCATGTGAAACAAGTTCCTTGCCAACACATGATCACGCACCTGCATGTGAAGCAAGTTCCTTGCCAACACATGATCACGCACCTGCATGTGGGCGTCAATGAGGATGTTGGCTGGCTTGATGTCGCGGTGCACGAGGCCAAAGCTGTGGAGATACTCCAACCCACGCGCCACCCCTAGTAGGATGCCCACCCGCTGCTGTAGAGTCAAACTCGTGGGTGCATCTGGAGCATGGCAGAGCAGAGGCAAGGCAGCATCATAGGGAAGCAGCTTGGAGGGAAGCAGCATTGGAGACGACGCCTTGCAGTGGAAAAGGACCCAGAGGATAGCCCACTGGATTCTGCAGAGTCAAAGTTGCGGGGTCACCTGGGAATGCAGTGTTGCGTACTAGACCTGGAAACTGGCATCAGTGTGATTGGCACTTCAGTCTCACCATGGTTGGAGCTTCCATTCCGCCTGGCTTCCATGCTCGCAGGTGTTTTACAAGCCATGTATTGGCCACTGGCTGTGGTCGATATTGCATAGAAGCACTTCGGCCTTTCTTTTTTCCTACACTTTTGTTCTACCTATTTACACAACTGTTTGCATGGTTGACACACAACTGCAGGATTGGCACAGCGCATAACAGTGGACCGGACTGTACCTGGGGCGATCCACGTGCGCAGGTTGCCATTAGCATTGAACTTGTAGACTAGATATACTATTCTCTACATAAATGATATATCTATCAGCACGAGTGCCAATGGTTGGCACAGCACACAACAATGGATGGACCAGTTGGTACCTGGGGCGCGCAGGTCGCTATTGGTGATGAAGTCGTAGACGAGAATGTTTTCACAACACACAGCACATAACAATGGCTGGACCTGATAGTACCTGGGGCGATCCACTGGCGCAGGTCGCCGTTGGCGATGAACTCGTAGACGAGAATGTTCTCCACCCGCGTGTTCACATGGCCTCCCACTGCATACCCCAGCAGCCGCACCAGATTGGGGTGATGCTTCGTAGCCATCTGCGCCACCTGTGGTAGGGCAAGAGAAGAGAGAGGGGGATGACACAATGCACCAATTATATGCATATGTTTCTGTGAAAGACGCACATCTTGGTTTCTCGTACATTGGTTGGTGTTCAGGAAACTAAATTAGAATAAACGAAAAAGAGAGAAAGAAATGAAAACCAGATGCTGCTAGAAGTAAGGAGGAAATTGGTTGAGAAGTTGTTACAACAGCATTTTACCAGTTTCCTGTAACTCAGGAAATTTGTTGAGAAGTTGCCATGGCTTGTCGCAACTCAGGACATACCCCATGTAGTACACATCTCCGATAGGAGTGTAGTTTCGAGGAACCCCCTCAGCAATACAAAGGATTCAGGGGCGATGAACTTGGCGTGGCTGAAAGCATTTTTGAGAGCTCTTAGTAAAGAGTCGGCCCACCTCACGGTGGAAGTCAGCAGTGACGACCTCTTGGTGATGACCTTCGTGCGGCTCACATCCCACAGAGTGCTGCCATCCTCAGGGCACAAAGTGCGAATGTTGAGACATCGGTATAACCAGCCCACCTCTCTGTGGAAGACAGCGGTGATGGCCTTGGCTGGCCTGTATGGAATCTCGTTTTGAGAAGTACTCGCACCCCTGTTGGCCCACCTCTCTGTGGAAGTCAGCGGTGATGACCTTGGCCTGTCTGGAAATTCGTTACGAGAAGTACTCGCACAACCCACCTCTCTGTGGAAGTCAGCGGTGATGACTTTGGCGCGCTTCACGGCCCACAGCGTGGTGCCATGCTCGGGGCACACCCCACGGTACACGTCTCCGTATGACCCCGACCCCAGCAGGCAGTCCTTGGACCAGTTGTTGGTCGCACGCGCCACCACGGCCAATGAATACCGTCGGCAAGGTGTCGTTGAGTTGCCTAAACGGGGGCTGGGGGAGTCTGTAGGAAGTATGGTATGGGGAGGAAAGGGCACCAGGGTTGTTGATTCTTTTCACATTGGTGAGGCGTAACACATTTAAGAACAAAGCGTGGTGTCATCCTCAGAGCACGCCCCGGTACACGTCTCCATACGCGCCCAACCCAAGCAGGCAGTCCTCGGACCTGTTGCCAGAAGCACGAGCCACCACGGGCAGAGAATACCGTCGGCAAGGTGTCGTTGTGTTTCCTATACGGCACGAATTTGCTATCTGTTAGTTTGTTTGTTTGTTTTTTCTATGTTTCTTACTTCCCTTTTTGTGGGAGGAAGTGGGGGGAGGAGGGGGGAGGAGGGGGGAGGGGGGGGAAAGTGGGGTTCTTTGTGTGAACTAGCACATTTGAGAGCACAGCGGCTTTGTTATTTACGTTAGACTCAGACATGCAGCTTGTTAGTGAAGTCAGACAGAAAATGAGGTGGTTCTTCTTGACGAAAACGCGCGAGTTTGGAGAGCGAAGTAAGAGAGTAAGTCCGCCGACTTCGGCGAACCATTGCGTGCAGCTCACGTAACTTAGATATACGTGCAGGTACACGTTGGAAAGGTTTCAGTCTCTACTTTTCATAATAATAAAGCACATCTTCAACCAGAATCTAGGTCGATCAAGATCGCGATTTAAGTGCTACGGAATACCTTGTCCGAATTACTTGGCGGCCATGGAATAGATATAGAGCATAGCTATAATAAAAGTTCAGATCTGAAAGTGACGAGTTTGACTAACCTTATTATTCCAACCTTTACCCTACAACAATCACAACAACCCAAAATGCCAAATTAACAACACCAAAAATGTTGTAGTGAAAACCGAAGGTTTGCTGGTGCTCGTTGGGTGCAAGTTCAATTCCAGCCCGCAACAAGTCTAGCATTCACATTTTGCCCAAGCACATAGCATTCAACCAGCTATAACAAAATACCACAACCACCTACACAATCAACACTTCTCACACGCATGTGCTTTCGTGCATGACAAAAGACAAACACGTGAAACACCTACCTTTTGTGGAGATCTTGAAGTGGGTGGCAAGGCACCAAGCTGAGGCAAGCAGGAGAGGCACGAGCAGAACGGCTGCTATCACAATGCCAATGACAGCTCCCACGGACAGGCCAGAAGGGGAAGCGAGTGAGGGGGAGGAGAGTGAGGAGTTGGAGGAGTTGACGGTTTGATTGGGTGATGGGGATGGTGGAGGGGAGGCCACAATTCGTGTTCGGGATGGGGCTGCTTTGGAGGGACACATCCACGAACACACCAGAAGGACACGGACTGAGGCACCACCAGAAAGAATTACAAGTGGTGGTGAAGCAGTGAAATCATAATATTGTAACTGGTTGTCAGACAAGTCCCTGCAACACACTCGCCAGGCTTGTCAGCCACATCATCAGCTAATCGCTCCTACACGAGTGAGGGGAGTATGGGAGGTTCGACGCGGCTCAAAAGGGTTCCCTCAGACTGGTTGTCGGACAAGTCCCTGCAACACACTCGCCAGCCTTGTCAGCCATACAATCGGCTTCTTTGTTTCTTGTAGTGTTTGAACTCGAAGATGCTCATCCCTAGCTTTGTGTGAGATGGATTTTGAGATCTCTCAAGGTCTCAAAACCATCCCGTGTTGAAAGGATGAAAGTGGAGGGCACTGACAGGCTGGTGAGCGTGGTGAGACACTGACACACCTGTCTCATCTGGTATGATTATCGAGAGAACTGTCAAGCCAGTAGTAAGGGGTTGATAATGGAGGGCACTGACAGGCTGCTGAGCTTGGTGAGGCTGCCAATGGACTCGGGAATGCTGCCTGACAGGTTGTTCTTCCATATGGACCTGTTGCGTGCAGTAAGGAAAGGGTTACAGGGGTGCACACAGGGCGGATAGGAGTGCAGGAGGGTTGGATAGGGGTGAGAATGCTGATGGACTCGGGAATGCTGCCTGACAGGTTGTTCTTCCATATGGACCTGTTGCGTGCAGTGAAGGACAGGGTTACAGGGGTGCATGCAGGGCGGACAGGGGTGCACGCGGAGCAGATACGGACTTTTGACGCGCCTCAATACTTGGGAATGCTGCCTCAATATCTGTTGGGTGCAGTGAGGAACAGGGGTGCACGCGGAGCAGAGCAGATACAGCAGGGGGGATAGGGGTGGTGCGTGAGTGAGAGCTGTGGCACGAGGGATCTGGTGCGGATAGGGCAGGCAAGAACACGGGTTGAACCTAGTTTGGCCGGCCTCAAACCCATTCGGGCTGTCTGCAAAACTGAGCCGAACCTGGTTATAGAGCCGTATTCGTTGTAGTCAAAGTGGTCAGAAATCTCGCATTTCAAGGTTCAGTGAGGGATAGAGGGCAGTGAGGTGCAGACCGGATGACAGGCATGACTGGCATTACTGTACATGGTGGCATGAGTGCATGTGATGGCATGAGTGTAAGGCATGGCATGTGATGGCATGAGTGCTGTGAAGGCATGGCATGTGAAGTCGTATTAACATGTGATGGCCATGCCAAAATTCCAGCATAAAGGGGTTAGAGAAACTAGTAGGCGTGGATTTTAAAGGTTGACAAAATCAGAAGGTTGATGGTTTTTCAAACCCAGACGGTTGATGGTTTCACAAGACTTCAAGGTGGATGCTGTTGCCGATGGACTCTGGTATGTGAGTGACAGCATGAGCACATGTGATGGCATGAGCACATGTGATGGCATGAGCACATGCGATGGCCATGCCACAAGCCCAAGATGAAGGCGCCAAAAAAACTTACAATATTTCAAGGTGGATGGTGCTGTCAATGGACTCTGGTATGCTGCCACTGATGCTGTTGTGCGCAGCGACTCTGCAACGAGCCACACATGCACCATGATGTAACTGGAATGGACAATGGGGTATAGTTGCGTAGATTCTGATATGCGCGCAGTTGCTCCATGTTAAACATTAACATTAGTTTTGAGGCGCCTCAAAACTGAACATTAGTCGCTCTTTGGTTGAATCAGGGGGGATGGATGTAAGGGGAATCGAGAAGGGATAAGGGAATAGACTGGAGAATTCATGTGGGCTTCATCCAAACCGAGGAAGTTTATGGATGGAAAAGGTTGTATAGGTTGGGGATGAAAAATTACATCTAACCAACCTAAATCTGTAAAGAAATGCTATGAGATGAGATTTGAGTCGACTTAAGAATGCTGAAACCCAAGTTTGAAATCTAAAAAATCTGCAACTATCTTCAATCGGAAAAACATCAGGGACTGGGGAGCAGGGCTGGGAGATGGAACGTACGCAATCCTGTTTCTTTGGGTGATCACTAAAGAGCATACAGTTTTCTGAGTATGGTGCGGCCAGATATCCAGGATGGAAACGGGCCCGATAGACTCATATAGCTGAGGTACCTACCTGCACACACACGCACGCACGCACACACATGCGCATACCAGCAAAGATGCATACACAATTATGAATCATTAACTTAAGAGAAAGGAGAACTTGACTGGCAGTCAATCGTGAGACAAAGTGGAATGTGGTGACAAAGGAAACAGTGGTTCACTCACAGAGAGGAAACATAGGCGCACTCACAGAGATTGCAGGTTGGTAAGGCTCTGCATCTCGAGGGGAATGGAGCCAGTGATTTTTATGTTGAAGCTGAGATCTCTGTTGGCATACCATCACCATGCCAAGCCATGCCAAGCCATGCCAAGCCATGCCAAGCCATGCCATGCCATGCCATGCCATGCCATGCCATGCCATGCCATGCCATGCCATGCAATGCCATGCCATGCCATGCCATGCCATGCCATGCCATGCCATGCCAAGCCATGCCATGCCATGCCATGCCAGGCAGACACACCATTACCATGCCACGCCCTCTGCATTAGCAGCGGCCCACCATGGTCTCTGAACACAAAACTTGTCTCTGATTTGATGGAAGTAAGGCCTCCGCAGCCCAGCATGGGCAAGCCCCATGGGCAAGCAGTCCCCCTTTGGCAAGCCCCTCTGCATTATCATCAGCGGCCCACCATGGGCTATGCATGCAGTCGCAGAGTTCAAAAGTTGAGATCAGGGCACGCGCTCCTGTGTTTGAGGGGCTTAGATTGAAAATCAGTATGGGCTACTCACAGGTAGGGATGAGCAAAAAAACGAACAGGTTAAATTTTTTGGCTTAAAGTGTTCGCCGAACAGTGTTCGAGGTTCGCCCGAACACGTTCGTGTTCGGGCCGCTGCTGCAATTTGCCCCTAGACGAACACGAACGTGTTCGAGGTTCGCCCGAACACGCCTTCATAGGCGAACGGCGAACACCTGTTTTTGCTTAAGGTGTTTCGCCGAACCGAACAGTGTTCAGTACGCCGAACAAAGGTGTTCGTGCATGGGCGAACGCGAACACGTTCGTGTTCGCCCCTTGCTCATCCCTACTCACAGGTGTGAGAGAGTGTTTTGAGACGTCTCAAAACACGGCGCGTGCTCCTGCGCTTAAGAGGCTTAGAGTGAGAGTCAGTGTGGGCTACTCACTCACAGGTGTGAGAGGGCAGCCAAGTTGGAGATGGCTGCGGGAATGGTGCCGGATAGTTGATTCCAACGGAGCTCTCTGCCATGCATGTCACGGCGCCAAGCACATGGCAGGGATGGGGAAGGAAGTGATTTTTGGGGAAGGAAGTGATTTTTGGGTCGACTCAAAATGGAGCCTGACAGTTGATTTCAACAAAGCTCTCTGCCATCCATGTCATGGTGTCAAGCACACGGTGTCAAGCACACGGTGTCAAGCACACGGTGTCAAGCACACGGCAGGGATGGGGATGGGAACAGCAAGAGATAGTAGTTGTGGCCTCAGCGTGAGAGAGTTATGAGATAATAATAGTGGCGTGGATTGGGGGTTTGGGAGGGCGGGTGAACAACTTCTACGCTCGTCCGTCATTGTGGATAGTGCAGGAGTAGAAAAGGGAGGTCAGTGAAAAAGACAGAACAGATGAGGGGATGGAACCTGGGCAAGGGTGCTGTGGTTCCATGCTCACTATACAAACAACACGCAAACGCGGGCAGCAACAAGATTGTGTTAGAATATAGCATGTATATGGCTAGAACTAATAGTGTACACCCAAATCATGGGTGTACACATTGAGGTGGTCTCCCAACTTTTGGTTGGGTTTCCACAACCCAGGCGACCATTATTGTTGGGGAGCCAACATTGGTGGCCAACCCCTCCAATGTTTGGCCCCTCCAATAATTGACTCAACCTCAATTATTGGGGTCAACCAATAATGGTGTGGGGTAACTCTGATTTTGGTCACTCTTCCCATTCCCTATTTGTACTGCTCTTCTTTATCAATATACCAACTCTTGAGTTCACCCCTTCATCCCAACTATGGGATTCTCACAGATTGGTGGGCTGGAGAATCATTCTCACAACAATGGGCTGCAAGAGTATTCTCACAGCAAGGCAAGATTGGTGAGGCTGAAGATGGATAGAGGGATTGCACCAGTGAGCCTGTTGCCTCCAAGTGAGCTTCACAGACAGAAAGGCACAACAAGGGGCATGTGGGGAGCACGGCACAACAAGAGGCGCATGGGGACAAACACAAGGCCAACTCTCAAGCCAAGTGACTTTAAGTTGACTTACAAAATACCAGCGAGGGTGACAAACACAGGGTCGTCTCAACTCAACCAGTCCAAGCATGGATGGCACGGTGAGGCACAGGACACACTTGGCTGAGGCGAGGGGTTTGCCGAGCGTGTATTTTTTGAGAATTCTCAAAAAGCACTCGCTCGAACATACCACTCAACCAGTCCAAGCATGGATGGCACGGTGAGGCACAGGACACACTTGGCTGAGGCGAGGGGTTTGCCGAGCGTGTGTTTTTTGAGAATTCCCAAAAAGCACTCGCTCGAACATACCACTCAACCAGTCCAAGCATGGATGGCACGGTGAGGCACAGGACACACTTGGCTGAGGCGAGGAGTTTGCCGAGCGTGTGTTTTTTTAGAATTCCCAAAAAGCACTCGCTCGAACATACCACTCAACCAGTCCAAGCATAGATGGCATGATGAGGCAAAGGACACACTTGGCTAACGCGAGGGGGTTGCCAAGCCGCGCACACTTCCTCGGCTCAAGAGGTGGGCTTTAAGTCGACTCAAAAGTCAACCCGGGCACAGCTCCTCGGCTGGAGAGGTGAGGTTCGGCTCGGCTCTGAACGCGCTTGGCTTGGGGCTCGGGGCGGCTTGTTTTGGCTTGACAGGGAGGTGGCTTCAGCGACAGCAAACTGAAACCGGAAACGTGATGTGACCATCTGACACAACACCGCTCACAAAGGGTTTGCTGGCACGAAGGTCGCTGTTGAGTCGACTCAAAAGGTGGCGTCACCAGCTGCAAACTGAAACCGGAAATGTGATGTGACCATCTGACATAACACCGTTGACTTTTGAGTGGACTCAAAAGCCACCTCGTAAAGCTGATACCGGAAATGTGATGTGACCATCTGACATAACACCGTTACTTTTGAGTGGACTCAAAAGCCACCTCATAAAGCTGATACCGGAAATGTGATGTGACCATCTGACATAACACCGTTGACTTTTGAGTGGACTCAAAAGCCACCTCGTAAAGCTGATACCGGAAATGTGATGTGACCATCTGACATAACACCGTTACTTTTGAGTGGACTCAAAAGCCACCTCGTAAAGCTGATACCGGAAATGTGACGTGACCATCTGACATAACACTGTTGACTTTTGAGTGGACTCAAAAGCCACCTCGTAAAGCTGATACCAAAAATGTGATGTGACCATCTGACATAACACCGTTACTTTTGAGTGGACTCAAAAGCCACCTCGTAAAGCTGATACCAAAAATGTGATGTGACCATCTGACATAACACCGTTACTTTTGAGTGGACTCAAAAGCCACCTCGTAAAGCTGATACCGGAAATGTGACGTGACCATCTGACATAACACTGTTCACACAGGGTGTGCTGGCATGACGGTCGTAGGTAGAGAGAGCCCGAGGTGCAACGGCTTGTCCCTGTCATGGGACGATTTCAGGAAGTCCGCTTACAGGTAGGAGAGGAGGGAGAGGTCACGAATTGTTGTTGGGATGGAGCCTGTGAAGCGATTCCATCTAAGGTCCCTGCCATGACATGACATGACATGTGAGCCGCACACAACGCATGCACAGCGCAGGTGGATTACGAAACAAAACGAGACAGAATGAAACACGGCGCAGAATGAAACACGGTGAGGATCAGCCATTCAGATGCTAGACTAGAATTGGGCAAAAAAGGATGGCCGTGGCTCAGCCATTTGCGCCGGGAAACACAATGCGACACGTCATGCAGAAGATTGGTCTTTCAGGCGTTTTGGAGCAGCTAGACAGGACCTGGGACAAGGGAATGAGCTGTTGCTTGACCCTTCTTGCAGGGCTGTCATGACATGTAAAGCGCCAGATTATGTTGCGTCACATGTGCCAGATTATGTTGCCAGATTATGGCGCCAGGTTACATTGCGTCGCATGTGGACTTGAGCACACACACGTTCCGACCCACTCCAGGTGTGTCGGGAAGTGCAAGGAAATGCTAGCCATGTTCGCCAAACCAGCAACATGCTCTTTGCGCTTCACTTGCTGGCTCGTCTCAACTTACCCCAGCCTGAATGCTGATTTCTCTAGCAATCACAACAGTGGACGGCTCAAGTGGGCATGGTGAGCTCATGAGGGCATGGTGAGCTCATGAGGGCATGGTGAGCTCATGTGGGCATGGTGAGCTCAAGTGGGCATGGTGAGCTCATGAGGGCATGGTGAGCTCATGTGGGCATGGTGAGCTCATGTGGGCATGGTGAGCTCATGTGGGCATGGTGAGCTCATGTGGGCATGGTGAGCTCATGTGGGCATGGTGAACTCATGTGGGCATGGTGAGCTCATGTGGGCATGGTGAACTCATGTGGGCATGGTGAGCTCATGTGGGCATGGTGAGCTCATGTGGGCATGGTGAACTCATGTGGGCATGGTGAGCTCATGTGGGCATGGTGAACTCATGTGGGCATGGTGAGCTCATGTGGGCATGGTGAGCTCATGAGGGCATGGTGAGCTCAAGTGGGCATGGTGAGCTCATGAGGGCATGGTGAGCTCATGTGGGCATGGTGAGCTCATGTGGGCATGGTGAGCTCATGTGGGCATGGTGAGCTCATGTGGGCATGGTGAGCTCATGTGGGCATGGTGAACTCATGTGGGCATGGTGAGCTCATGTGGGCATGGTGAACTCATGTGGGCATGGTGAGCTCATGTGGGCATGGTGAGCTCAAGTGGGCATGGTGAGCTCATGAGGGCATGGTGAGCTCATGTGGGCATGGTGAGCTCATGTGGGCATGGTGAGCTCATGTGGGCATGGTGAGCTCATGTGGGCATGGTGAGCTCATGTGGGCATGGTGAACTCATGTGGGCATGGTGAGCTCATGTGGGCATGGTGAGCTCATGTGGGCATGGTGAGCTCATGTGGGCATGGTGAGCTCATGTGGGCATGGTGAGCTCATGTGGGCATGGTGAACTCATGTGGGCATGGTGAGCTCATGTGGGCATGGTGAACTCATGTGGGCATGGTGAGCTCATGTGGGCATGGTGAGCTCATGAGGGCATGGTGAGCTCAAGTGGGCATGGTGAGCTCATGAGGGCATGGTGAGCTCATGTGGGCATGTTGAGCTCATGTGGGCATGGTGAGCTCATGTGGGCATGGTGAGCTCATGTGGGCATGGTGAGCTCATGTGGGCATGGTGAACTCATGTGGGCATGGTGAGCTCATGTGGGCATGGTGAACTCATGTGGGCATGGTGAGCTCATGTGGGCATGGTGAGCTCAAGTGGGCATGGTGAGCTCATGAGGGCATGGTGAGCTCATGTGGGCATGGTGAGCTCATGTGGGCATGGTGAGCTCATGTGGGCATGGTGAGCTCATGTGGGCATGGTGAGCTCATGTGGGCATGGTGAACTCATGTGGGCATGGTGAGCTCATGTGGGCATGGTGAACTCATGTGGGCATGGTGAGCTCATGTGGGCATGGTGAGCTCATGTGGGGTGCCACGGCCGGTCACGAGGCCAAATTCTCTAGGGAGGAAGGTCACGTTTCAGATGAAAAGGGGTTCTAACTTGGAACTTAGACTAGTTGGCCCCTCAAAGTGGGCCACTTTCCAAGTGCCGCCTAGCTGCGCCTCCGGGCTAGCGTGGCTTGGAAATCCGTGAAGTTGGTTGTTGAGTCGACTCATAAGCCACCTCAGGCTACTGCTGTGATCTGGGTGTCTTACAGGTACAGGTATCTCACAAGAACACAGATTTGAAAGATTGGCAGTGGGGTAGTAAGACTTGCTTTGCAAGTGAAACATAGGTAGGATCGGATACTCACAACAAGGCGAGGTTGGTGAGGTGGAATATGGCCCAAGGGATTGTGCCCTCTAGATCGTTGGTTCCGAGATTGCTATTCACGCGCAACATGGGGCACAGAGAAGCAGTGGATGCAGACGTGAAGGTATAACTAAGCATGCAGCAGAGACGGACCCATACAGTACAGCATGGGCTCGTTTGTCATGAGTTGATTTTTGAGTCGACTCGTTGGGCTCATAGAGTACAGAAATCAACTCCCGTACAGTACAGCATGGGCTCATTTGCCATGAACGCACAAGACATACATTTCCCTTTTTGAGGCGCCTCAAACCTATATTTCAGGAACGCACAACAAAGATACATTTATCTTTCCTGCTATCACCAGTCGCCATCTCATGCGTTTCAGCAAGTTGTGCATCAGCAAGTTGTGCATCAGCAGGTTGTGCATCGACAGGTCGTGTCGTGCATCGTTACGTTGTGCATTGGCAGTGCCGGCTCTACTAGGTACGCCCGTAAGGGTTACCCATCACGCTCTTTATGCACACTGTCTGTTCATTATGCTCAGTGAGGGTCAGTGAGGATCAGTGAGTGTCAGTGAGTATCTATGAAGTTCAATGAAGGTCAATGAACGTCAATGAACGTCAATGAGGGTCAATGAGGGTCAATGAAGGTCAATGAGGGTCAGTGAGGGTCAATGAAGGTCAATGAGGGTCAATGAGGGTCAATGAGGGTCAATGAAGGACGCAGGAGTAGGGGGGTGCAGCCTGGGCAAGGTCACCAACCTTGACCGGAACTTTCAAAAGTTATCACAGGCAGAAAGAAGATCGGCAGTGGTGGAGAACGGTTCCCACAGCAAGGTGAAATTGGTGAGTTGACTTTTGAGTTTACTCAAAAGTTTACAAGGCATCACAGGCAGAAAGAAGATCGGCAGTGGTGGAGAACGGTTCCCACAGCAAGGTGAAATTGGTGAGTTGATTTTTGAGTTTACTCAAAAGTTTACAAGGCATCACAGGCAGAAAGAAGATCGGCAGTGGTGGAGAACGGTTCTCACAGCAAGGTGAGATTGGTGAGGCGGATAATGGATGAAGGGATTGGGCCTGTGAGCTTGTTCTCCTCAAAAGTCCTACCCAGGCACAACAACGAGGGGCACATGGGGAGCAAGGCACAACGAGGGGCACATGGGGAGCACAGCACAGCAAGGGGCATGTGGGGAGAGGGTGGTGTGTGAAATGAGTTTGCTTGGGGTGTGTTTGAGGGATGAAAAGTATCGAGTTGGGTTCAAGGGCACATTTGAGCATGAAAACACTACCAGGCTATTCTCCTTGCCATGGTGGATGGATGGACGAGGTGATTCATGCAAACTTACAGGATTGAGAGGCCACCAAGGTCACCAATGGCTTCTGGGATGGGGCCTGACAAACTGTTGAAACTGAGCGTTCTGCCATGCCAGTCAGATGCAGTGGGAGGGAAACACAGGAAACATCACGTCCTGCCATTTTATGTTCTCAGTCGACTCACAACTCGGTTTATCACGCATGACGAGTCGGATGCAGTGCGAGGGGAAGAGAGGGAAACAGTATGTCATGCCACGTTATGTCAAGGGGTCTTTTCGCAGCAGTGCAGCAGACCAAGCCAAGCCAAGGTGGCTGTTGAGTCGACTCAAAAGTCAGCAG